CTGGAATTGAGCATCAGCTCATTTTTATGGGCTGGCCACAGGTATGGGGGTGCAGGGTTCACAAAGAAGATCCTGGTGTCCCCAGTGGACACCTGGTTGTCACAGATGAGGGGGTCTCCAAAGCCGCCAATCACCACCTTGTTGCCACCGTCAAGCAGGCTCTCTTGGGTCACCACGTCTTTGCCCTTCAAGTACCGCCAGACTCGAACCTGGGGTGGACATGGTGGGGGGGACAGATATCAGTGGCCCTCTTTCCACTGGGGAGATGAGGCCAAAGAGTTCAGGGACAAGCACCAGACCGGGCACCTGGGCTTTTTCTTCTCTTCCCACCTCAGTTGCTCAGGTTGGATGCCCAGAGTAGACTCAAACCCCGGGGCAGAGATGTATGGAGATCTTTGGGTCAGCCCCCCAGGAGGAGGCTGCAGGGAAGCACACACACGTGATGGATGCCACTGCCTGTGTGTGTCACACAGAAGAACATGCAGCCTGTGAACACACAACTTCCCACCCCCCAGGTCTAACTGACCCCAGCCACCTCCAGTAATGTCCATCTCAGCTCAGGCTGGATATGGGAAGGGGATCCACCTGGTCTAGGTTCCCGCCCTCCATGTCCCTGCTTTCCCCATCAACCCACCCACTAAGAGCCAGGGGCACCTAACATGGACAATGGAGTTTCAGGGCAATGGGCTCTGAGCTTAGGGCTCTGGGTCAGCTTGGCTCCTTGCAGCCCTGTGGGTGGGCTAAGACACCCCCCCCAAGAGGTGAAAGACCCCTCCTCCTGCCAGGCTCCTACAGTGAATGTAGTCAAGGCAGACTTGGAACCACAAAATCAAGTTTGGGCAGCACAGGGCGGCCCCACCCTACACACTCTCACTCCTGGGGCCCTGAGGGTACCTGCTCTGACAAACCAAGCCCTGAGACACCCACAGCTGGGGTGGGGGGGTTGGGGGGGCAGGAGGGTTGCGGGAGCTGCAGGCTATACTGGGATGTCCATGGGGACATATGCCCAGGGGGCATAAGCCCCACACTCTCTGAGAAGAAATCGCTTTCTTCAGGAGCTCTGGGGAGCTGAGACTTCTGGAATGGATGATCAAAGACAATGGTGGCCTCCCCACCTGCCAGGTCCCTGCTGGGAGGCTTGGAACTGCAGCTTCTGTAGGGAGCCCCTCCACCTTCCAGTGGCCCAGCTGGGGGGTAAGCCTTGTCCAACCTTATCCCTCCCAACCCCAGACACATAGTAGGCTCTAGAAGGATGATAACCAGCAGGGAGAGGGCTGGGCCGCTTTCATCGCCTCCCCCCACCCCAGCCACACCCAGGAGCAGCGGGGAGGAAGTCGGGAAAATCCTGCAGGGACTTGGCAAAGTGCCCTGGCGTGGTGGAGGGGAGGGGGCTGGGCTGGGGATCCCAGCTGTAGCCTGCACAGGCCAATCTGAAAGAAGCTGCCACCCCTCCCCATCTCCATGGAGAAGGAATGATCCGATTTCTGGTCAGGGAGGTGGTTTTAGGGGCCAGAGTGGGGAAGGGCCCAGGTCCCCTGAGCCCTCCATAGGAACATACTGTGGGAAAAACAAACAAACAAACAAACCACCAAACCTATCCCAGGGGGGGCTCCAAGATCCAACTGAGGGAGAGGTTGGGCAAGCCCCCTCTCCTGTGGCCAGGGGGATCTAGTTCTCCTAGAAGCAGGATGGGGCACCTGTCCCCGCATTTGAGGCTGAGCAACGGTCCCGCCCACTTCTCTGCTCCTGTCTCCCGCACTTAGTCACTGCAGCCCCACCCCCAAGGATCCCTGGGGTTGGGAGATTAGATGTGCACCCCACTCTCTCTCCTGACCACCCCCTCTTGCCTTAGTAAAGGCCTCTGGGAAGGGGTGACAGCACTGACCATAGGCCGAATCCCCACTTTCACTCCAAGCAGAAGGCGTCACCTCCTCTCAATCCCATTCTTTTCTTTAACTATTGGGGAGGGGTGCGGTAGCCATCCAGTTTCCCTGGGGGGCGGTGCACTTGTCTGCAATAAGGTAGTGGGCCTGGGATGGGGGCTGGGGCAGACATGATCGGGTCTCCCGGGCCTGGGCACCGCGAGGTGGGACTGCAGCGGTACCGCAGGAACTTTCCCTCTGGCACTCGCGAGTTTTCCGGGACCCAGCGCCCCACCCGGGGGCTCGGCGGTCGCCAAGGGAGCGGGAGCGGGAGCTGCAGAGCGTCTGGTGCCCGTTCCCACGGCCTGGGGCGGGGGTCTCAGTGGGGCGGCCAGTTACTCGAAGGGAGGGCCTCCGGGCTAGGCGTCCAGGATGGCGGGGGAAGAGACCCCCCAGCCCAGGCTTCCAGGAGAGTTTTTTGGGGGGGAGGGTTTCAGGGTCCCGGCGGGGGCCCACCTTGCACGAGTACGTGTGCTGCACCGGGTCCACGTTGAGAATCTCCTCCACGGTGCCGGTGAGCACCACATTCGCCTCCTCCTCCCGCCGCTCCAGCGCGCGTTCCGGGCACGTCCCGTCGGCGCGGGGCAGGGCGCGCGCGGCCACCACCAGGAGCAGCAGTAGCGGCTGCAGCGGGGCCGAGCCGGACGGCCGCAGGCTGGCCATGGCGCGGGCCGAGGACGGCGGAAGGCGGCCAGAG